CCAGCGCAAAAATATGAAGCTTTGGAGCATGGTGGATGAGAACCAGAAGCTAGTAAATAACCTGGCTTCCAAACTTGCCCCAGGCGAGATGTGGGGCTTTAATCTTGAGTGTGGATTACTGTGCTTAGAGTTGCTGTCCAGATGGTCTGGCAGCCTGGAGTAGACTATAGCTCTGTGTCCATGTCAAAGGTCAGTACAGTGGAGTTCTGTTAGAATTAAGGAAAAGGCAGCTTATGTACAGTTGGGATAATGTTGTGGCCCAGCCACTGCTCTGGCCTTTCTGAGCCTGTGCGTGGGCGACTGAGTGAGTGCAGGAGATTTGATTATAACTCTCCACAGATCTGAATTTTTGCCTTTCTTGGAAGCGACCAAAAGCATCTGAAAGCGATTGTTTTAGTGAATTCTTAATATAACTAATGCAGAAGTTTTCAGTTGTCAGACAAAGCCAGAAAATATGACAGATGTTGCCTAGGCTCCATCAGCACGTGCTCCCCATATCCCTTCTCTTGGGAGGAGCTCACACCAGAAACTGGGCAGCTGTCACCTACAGACACGGAGCAGTGAAAGGACAGAGAGCGCCATGGAAACCCGAAGGCAAATGTCTCCAGGAGAGGAGAAGCTGAAACTAGGTTGACTGGTCCTGCTGTCTAGATCATGCTGCTTTAGACCTTTAGGAAGCAGCATTTCTGGCGGCAAGGGAAGAAACATAAATCACACATTTAGTAGTGAATGAGCATCACAACTTCGTCGGCTCAAGCTTTCTGTGCTCCTGCTGTTTGTGGTTATGGATGTTGGGTTTTGAACCTTTACCGTAATTGAGATGTGTTTTTAAACTGTATTTAGGGATGTGCATTTCAACGAGATTTCTTTGCTTTTGTTATTTCCCTTAGAAACATCTTGGCATTTAGTGCTTCGGAAGACAGTAGCAGCCCTGCTAACTCGTATGAAGATCTTAGGCTGGGGTATCTGATGTGTAGCTGTTACTGTAATTTCTGCAGTTTTCCAGGGCTTTTTGACTGGTGTTTACAGCTGGAAGTGCAATGGGGAGGATAAAAGTGAGAGAGAGAGAGAGCAGATAAATGGTGGTGTGCCAGATGACATTAAAAACTTTTTTCTCATTTTATGACTGGCGTTGTGGGTTGGCAATAATTTTCTTTTTATTCTACAGATATTAGGAGCAAGATTTCTCTGGGTGGGAAGTGGGAAATAGTGATACCTGTATTAAAGTTTTAATACATTATCACTGATTGCTGCCCATGTGTTTCTAAGTGTTTTAGAATCAGCCTCTTGTGATGAGGTTAGTTTGTTAATCTGGTAAACTGGGTCTGTAGTGTGTTCATGCAAGGGTAAGTGGAGTGCATGGCTGTGAAGTCTAATCCTTGTGGATTTGCAGGTCAGTTACAGCATCAGGTCTGTAATATTTACTGTCCAATACCTTTGAAAATCCATTTATTAAGTACACCTGAAATATTTTGTGTGACATCTTCAACTGGTAGCGAGCTGAAGTATAGAAATTGTGTCTGCATGCTGTTACTTGATACGCTCAAGCTTCTTGCTACACTGTGAGCCTAATTTACCTCTTGTGTTGCTTCTTTGTTTAGTCTTCTGCTTGAATCCTGATGTACAGAAGACAAAAGAGAGATCAGAGTCTGGCCTAGTGAGATTTCCCACATTGAAATATTTAGTTTTGTCTTTTCTACTTTGAGGGCTACAGCTGTTTCCTTATGTATTAAATAACGTGTAACACTTTTCTCCTTCCCTCAACACTAAAACATGCATGCTGGAGAGGAACCACCCGTCCTGATGGATGGCATTAGTGATTAAACCCACAGGTCTCAGGAGGATTACCAATTTGCTCACTTTTCTCCATCTTCCAAACCATATGTATGTTGTGCTCCTGTGTCTTCTACAAGATTGCTCTTTTTCTGTATGATGAGTCTGGCTTTTCTGCCTTTCTTGAAGCGAATTTTTTCTTTTGCAAGACTTTTGACATTCTAGCATTGTTAGTCAAGTGTTCTGAGTTCCACTTTTAGCTAAGCCACAGGCCAGCCTACAGACTCAAATATTGTTTTCAAATCTTTTTGTGGCATGAAAAGGCTTTGTTATACTCAAAGAATAATAATTTTCTAAAGTGCCATGGAAAGAAGTCTTTAATCTGCATGTTGTGTCAGGTGAGCAAGATTTTTCTGAGGATGTCAAGTGAGGCAAGAATAGAAACCTGTTTCAATAGGCTTATATCCTAAGTACTCAGCTCAGTGTGCTTAAGAGTTGGGAGAGGGATTATGTCACATTTAACCCTTTGTTATTTGCTGTTGCTTTCCCACACTGTTACCCAGTATCCAGCATAATCAGTAGAGGGGCTTTTTGAAAGATTTTCTTTGTTTGTGATTGTCATGTTAGGAGGCCTGAAGAATGGATCGATAGTGCCAACTAAAAGGATTTAAATTAGGCTTCTCTGGGTGGGCTTTGGCTTACAAATCTAACTTTAACTTGAACATTGAAGCAGTTCTTCTTTTCTGGTGCTATAAATCACTGGCATTTCTCTGTACTGAAATAAAAACAAATCCACATTCAGCATCCTGCTTGTGCAGAACTCTAATTCTGACTGTGAAACTAATATCTTGGGTTACCTTTCACTCTCTTTCTCCCTTCCCCTTGTCCCCAGGTTGATAACACATAAATGGTTAATGCAGACTCTAGGATGTCCATGCAGAATTGATTTTTGAATTTTAAAAGGAGTACCTCTTGTTTCCTAACACACAGAGTGCCAGCTGCTGAGATTTCATTGCATGTACAACTTGGAAGACTGCAAGGAATCCTTCTGAGCAGTGCTGTAAGGGAAGAAAAAGGAGCTAAACAACTGCAGTACCTCTGGTTGATTGCAAAAGTTTGCCTTAACTCTGTCTCCTGATAATTGAGAGCCTTGAAGTGTAGTTGTATCTCCTCCCTTGTGAGGTACAACAATGTCATTCTCCCCTTTTAAGGTGTTATCTCTATAGCATGGAGATTACAAAGATGTTTACTGCTTTATTTAAGAAATTCAGAGAAGCATGTGGTAGAGCAGGTAATTAAACTCACATTTCTCAGGTCTCATTCTGGCCCATGCCAGATCTTGCTTCATCTGAAAGAAGGATCAGGATCTTTAGAACAATGCTTCATGGGTTCTTGCCTGCTGTGTAGCAGTGTTCTATTATATGGATATACGCTTCTTGGCGTTTTGCAGAAGTTGCTCCTCCTCTGAGGACAGTGGTTTGCGGTCATCTCACTAAACTCCTCTTGAAAGATGCCTTAGGAGAATGGAAGGCTGTTGCTGAAGGGTTTGAATAAATAGCAGGATGGGACAAGAGTGTACGTAGCATTATTGCCACCGCTCCCCCTTAGTGCAGACCCAGTTTGGTTATTCTTCAGAACTGATATGTGGTTAAACTCCGAGTCCAGCCTAATGCAGGAACTCTGGGCATAGCTGGTGAAATAAACAGCTTCTAATTGAGAGTGAATCATCTCTGGAATTAACTACTCTAACACTTCTTCAAACTGTGAAAGGAGGAGTAGGAAGCGCTTAATGAATGTGTTTTTAAATGGGCAATTTGTGTTTAGCTCATCAAGCTGGAAGCACATTAGGCTCCTTGTACAGATCACAGATGGCAAGAGCAATTGTATATTGTACTTAAAACTTAATGTAGATTAGGAGGTTGTGATAACATAAATGACAGATTTCTGTATTTGGAGTTTAAGGCATGCATTTCAAATGGAATGAGGTAGTGAGTGCTTTTTAAAAAATTAATCCTTACCTGCTTTTATCTCTGTCAGTCTTCAAGCACCCTCACTGTTCCTGGTCTCTGTGTACAGCTGCTGTTCTGTACTGGGTAGCTGCCTGGCTTGGCTCCTAAGCAAGCGTCTTCTGTGGGGTTGTGTCAGCCTGCAAAGATGTTCCTAAATGGGTTGTGAGATGACAAGATGCTGCTAACATAGGCAAAGAAAGAAGAAGAAGAAGAAAGCACTTTTTTAAAACCTTTTTTTTTCCTACAGCTGTAACGTGTCACCTAAATCCTTTGACTGGATAGGGCAGAACCCCAGCTTTAGGATTAGTGCGTATGATGGATTTAGGATTTGAAGCGAACATGTGTTGCTGTGTTTGCATCATATCTAGTTTTTACTGCCTAGAGAGAAATGTTCGTTCTTTTATCAGGCATGTCCATTAAAATACTGAGGAGAACCTGCTGAGGAAAGATGAAGATTGGTACAATACTTTGAAGAGCTGTGCAAGAAGAAAATGTGATTTATTTTTTTTTTCAGACTTGGAAAGAGACTGAAGAGCTTAAGCACCTGGACAGATCCGCAGTGAAAGGCAAGGGTAGCTCAGGAGCGTAGAGAGGGGAATGGATTGTACTCTTAACTTTGCACTTACTGCAGTGGATATTGTTGGTTGGTTTTGAAGAGCAACTAGAGCCTTCAGGAAGAGTGGGACTTGAAATCTGTTAGTAATCAAATATATAAAAGGGGTACCTCTATGTAGGAATTGCCGTCAGAAGGAGGAAGCGGCATGGAGAAGCCAACAGCTGTAAATTGGTGTAATGTCTGAGTGGACACTTAGCAGCTGGTGAAGTGGCAACGGGAAAAGACTATCATCGGGAGGCCTTTCTGTCCAGAAATGGATTCATCTGCATGCCATCTTGCCTCCTGGCCCTGTCTGTGCCCGTCATGTGTCTTCTTTAAAATGTTGAGTCGAAACCCACCCAGTCCTCAAAAGTAGACACATAGGTACGTCACACAGAATTAAAAAGATTTTGTTGGGATTTTAATATTCTAAATCTGGACAGGGGAGGAGGCTAAATTTACAGTGAAACTGCTCTGTAACAACCTGAAAAATACCACTGGATTTTGGGATCACCGGTAATATTTTTATGCTATTACGTTGGAAATGTGTACTACAGAATCTTGATATCTACTAAGGCCGCCAGTGCTTGTATTCAATTCTGAAGCTGCCCTTTGTCTCAGACATGGATGCCTCAAAAACTCCCTTGCTTCGAAATAAGTTCTCAGTGGCCCGTCTGGCTGAAGAGTTTTTCTGGGTTGGTGGCAGCATCGTAGCTTCTCCAAGATGGAAAATCGGACATATTGGTAAGATGCCGGCTGAATACCTGCCACTTAATTGAACAAGATGGTATCATCTTGAAAGCTTTCATGTTTAAATCTTAGTGACAGCTTTGTCTAGCAGTAGTGTGGGGGATTGGAAAAGAAGGAAGAACTTGAGACACAGCCCTAGTCCTGGGTTTGCATGGTTGCTAGTACAATTCTTTTGGTCTTCAAGAATCTCTCAGTTATAATTTCATTACTGATTTCTTCAGTCTTCTGGAAAAGCAAATGCGAAGTTATACATTTTGAGATGAGCAGACCTTTTGAAATTTTCTATTGCATAGATAGACTCTGTCTCTCTCCACACCCATAGTAAGATAGGTTTGCTATCTGCCAGAATTTGTACACCTGTTAACTCTCAGATTTGTTCAGTATTTGTAGTTTTCAGTCTTTGAGCATTTAGAAGTATCTCTGTTGTTTTCTTCCATAGCACCTGTCACTGTACTCTTTGGGGGTTGTTTTCTGAGTACTGATATACAAAGGCAAAGTTCTTAAGCTTCACTAGCTATCTGGGAAGGTTCCCTTTTTGCTTCATAGCAGCCTTTCTTTTAAGTAAATAATAAAACCAGCAAACCTAGTTGGAAATGGCTAGAGAAATGAGATGTTTCCTGTGGTAGTAAATGCATTTGAATAGCAGTCGTCTTGAGTCACTCGCGTGCAGTGAGGAAATCTGCAGCGGCCTTGCCCAGAACCACCTGTTGCCTTGTGTTTAACCCCAGCTGGGCACTTTTGTGTCCTCCTTCTCTGTCAGCTTCACCAATCGATTTTTTTTTTTTACCAAGAAAGTTGGAGTTATAGATAGCTTAGAAACTAACGGGAATTTTTACAGAGGTCCAGAAATGCCATTGTACTCTGCTTCTGCATTTCCCTGCGTCCGGGTGGCTGATGGAGTCTCAGCCAAGAGATGGAGACCTGACAGACTGACCTCAAATTAAGCACCCTAATTTCCACCGGATTAATAGCATCTCTTCTCCCATTAACATCTCATTTATTAGGGGTTGTGGGCTTTAAGGATGGATTAAGTCTTGCGTTCTCTCTTGTATGCTGTCCCAACCGTTGCTGGCAGAACTATACAGAACTTTTCTTTTTCAAAGATACTTTGAGAATTTTTTTGCCAGTAAAAAGAACAGCAGAGAGTCCTGAAACTTACTGAGGCTTGAGTCAGTGAGAGCAAATAAGGGGGAGAAAGTTCTTGCACTAGTAAGAAGATGGGTGGTTTAAAAGGTGAGAAGGACCTGATCGCAGGGCTGCAGGGATGCAGAACAAAACAAATGAAGATTAATGAAGTTGGATGAGGTCTGCTTTTTAATTGGATCCTGGCATAATGATGCAAATCAGTCTGCTGTGCCTGATCTGTGGACACTGGACAGAAAATACCGTAGGTTAACTCTTGATCATGCCACTCCTTGCATGACAATGTCTGGTTTTTGTGGGTTCTTTTGGTTCTGGGGTTTTGTGTGTGTGTTTATTTTCTTTGCTTGGTTTGGGCATTTTCTGTGTGTGTGAAGTAAAATCCACCCAGTAAGAACAGTCCAGTTTTTATCCAAGAGAAAGCCAGTATCTCCCTCAATGAGTTCATGTTGCAAGGAAAAGACTGTACTTTAAATATGTAGTAGTAAAGAATAAATATAAAATAGATGCATAAGTAAAATTTAAAGACTAAAAATAAATAAATAAATAATTGTTTACCTCTGTTATGAACCACAGGATGCTAAATTCTCTATGTAACAAAAGTTGGTTTTGATAGGAATTCATTTGATTCATAAGGCGATGTGTCAAGTAGGAATTACTACTCACATATTCCGTTAGTGTGGGTGCCTGTATGAGGAGCAAAACCAGGTTGCTGTAGCCAACAGTTAATGTTAAAGCTTTTGTGATAAGACCATTAGTTGAGGGAATGTCTTCAGGGTCAGAAGTGACATTCTGGGAGCCTTTATTATGAGAGTGGTATGATGAACTGCCATGGAGATTCCTCAAACTCACACAAATAAGTCATACCGCTCATAGGCAGAACTTTCAAAATATCTTCTAGTTCCAAGACTTTTCAGCTGAACAGAATTCCCACCACACTGTACTGGATTTATTCTATATGTACTACATATGTTGAATGCTTTTATATTATGATATTTATATATGGATTTTTAAAAAATTTTGATGCTACCTGTCAAAACGGAAACCAATATTCCTGGCAGGAATAGTTGGAGCCAGTCGGTTCTTTGGTTTACCTATTGATGAGCCAGTTATAGCTGCAAAACCATTTCCGATTAGACTTTTAGACTTTTAAAAGAGCAATTATCGTCTCTTCAATGGATTTGCAGCGCTGAATGTATGACAAGTGTGGGAGCCCTCTGTTGCACGTGGGAAAGCTCTTCTGGTTTAGTCATATTTTAAGGGAACAATTTCCCCTCACAGTGCACATGTGCTGGAGGGGTTTCTCTAGGTTCACAAACATGTTGCATCTTCTGGAGGCCCTGAGGAGAAATAAGTCTCTGAAATCTGTTTTCCTCTCCTTATAGTCTTGAGCAGAGCGGTGGTTTTGAGGCATACGGTCAGGATGCGTCGTGTGGGTCTGTTAAGAGGGCAGGACTCGGCAGAGCTGGGTGGTGCTGGCCTTCGGACTTCATAAAGGGACTGGCTGGGGCCGCAGCCGTACGACGTAACCTGGAGCCGTACTGAGCTCTGGACGTGAATCTTTTGACAAAGCTGGCCCATGTATAAAAATACTCAGTGACTCAATCGTTCTAACTTCTTTTCATCCTCACATGCTAAAATACTCCCACTCCTTCACACATTTACATCGAACCCAGAAACTCCTAAAAGACAACAATGCTACTGAACCATAAATAATTAATTAACAAGGTTGAACTGGCTTTTCCTGAGTAAATTAGTTGAATTTGTCTGAATATGAGTTCTAAAGCACAGGAACATCAATGATTTTTTCAGTTTATTTTTTACTCTACCCTGCTTCTCTTGGCTGTTTTGTCTGAGAGGCAAAAGATTTCAAGTTCAAGGTTGCCAAGAATCTTTCTGACTTTCTGATCGTATAACCTGACCTCTTCTTTTAGACAATACAGGAAATCTTTCCCTTTGACTCGAACTGTTAATTTGCCAGCTGCTTGATGTGTTTTCTTCCTGTAAAAGCGATTTTTAAAGGGAGCAGAGTCTGACTTACTGATATCACTTTATTTCTCTTTTCAGTGGAAAGATGTATGAGTTCCATGCAAACTGGTACCCAAATGATCAAACTCCGTGGCGGTTCCAAAGGGTTGGTCCGCTTCTACTACCTGGATGAACACAAGTCGTGTATTCGCTGGAGACCCTCTCGAAAGAATGAGAAAGCCAAAAGTGAGTGTCAACCACAGAACCTTTCTTCTGATTGCTCCTAGGGTCTTGCCCTCTTATAAACAAACGAGCATGAAGGATTTGGCTCATTCACGGGTGATCAAGAAGAATGTTGTACTGGAATTTAAAGGGCAGTAAATTGTTTTATGATTAATACTTTATGAAGATTAAATTGCTGTTGTTAGCTATGCAGGTTGTATGTTGTAAATGAGTTGCAGGCAAAACCTGTGTGAATTGGGGTCCTTGCCGTGTGAGGTTTGGGCCCTTTCTCCACAGGATTTCTCTGTAGGATAAACACATCCTGTCTGGCCTAGGGCATGCACGCAGTCGTTGATGAGCTCCATGCTTTTGTCATTCTAGTTTCTATCGACTCTATCCAGGAGGTTTGCGAGGGAAAGCAATCGGAGATCTTTCAGCGCTATGCCGATGGCAGTTTCGATCCCAACTGCTGCTTCAGCATCTACTATGGAGACCATATGGAATCTCTTGACCTGGTATCTTCCAGTGGAGAGGAAGCACGCACCTGGATCACAGGGCTAAAATATCTGATGGCAGGGATCAGCGATGAAGACAGCCTCTCCAAACGCCAGAGGACGAGAGACCAATATCCTTCTTATACCACCTGAGTGTATTTCCAGTGGTGGACAGCTATCAGTTGCATGGGATTCCTTTAAGTGTTTGTTTTGCTAAAAGTAGGCACTAGGCTCAAAGCTTCAAAGCAGCTCCCGTTGTATTCCCTGTTTCCAGAGACAGAGGAGTCCTTGAAGAGGATTGTTCTGGCAAGGTTTGGGGATGAATGACTGGAGTGGACTGAAAAGCATGCAGGTAAAGTCTTTCATCTGTTAACTCCCTGTGTGAAGCTGTCCGTCTCGTTTGGTTACACACGGGACAAAGTGTGATGCAACACTGCAGTTCGCTCAGAAGTTAGTTCTTCTGTGCTGTAGTCTGGGTAAATAACGTGTTGCCTGTTGAGCATAGTGAGTCCAGAAACTGCTACTGAAGTAACTTGAGTAGAGTTATGTCATGTATTACCTTGAACTTTCTTTCATCCCCAGTCTCATATACAGTCTTTCCTAACATGAAAAAATCCTATATACATCATGTTCAGTAATATCCCTTAATATTCCATGCTGTTCCTTAACTCCTGCCCAATGTGGTTGAAGCAGACATTTGATGAGGCAGATAAAAATGGTGATGGCAGTCTGAGTATCAATGAAGTGCTCCAGCTAATGCACAAACTGAACGTGAACCTACCCCGACAAAAAGTCAAGCAAATGTTTAAGGTAAGAAACGAAAATGTATTTTTTTTTTCCTAAAAGAACAAGGGTTGAGCTGCTGGAGATTTAACATGAAACCTAGTAGGAGAGAGATTGTAAATACTTCAGCAGCTGGTTTGTTTCCACTCTGCTGAGAGATACTACACAGTCCATTTGGTAAATTGAAAAGCGCTCCAGAAACACGTCATAGATAAATTGTGATTCGTAGAAAAAGGCATTACACCAGGTACCTTCACTGGCTGTATGTAAGTATTCTAATGCCTCTGGGTTGAAAATATTTTTAACTTACAACTCTTTCTGCTGTCTCTTTCATCCTGCTGACAGCTGATGCAATGGTAAAATAGGCTCAAATGGAGCATGGAAAACGGAATAACTCTGCAAACCACGGCAACGCAACGTTGTGGGGAGGGAAGGAAAGGCTACTGGGAAGTTTCCAGTAATCAGCTGATACAGGTTATCCTAGTGTATGCATCGGGCTAACATTTTACCCATCGTTTGCGTGGGTGGTTCTTTAAGAGCAGAAAATCCTGCCAAAAAAAGAGTTTGCGGCTGGGGGGGAAATTTAAACAGAAGTTTAGAAGTAGAGTTAAAATACTTGAGTATTTTTTCTGTATGTTACTGAATAAAAGAGAAAAAAGGTTTATAGCACACAGGTGCCCCAGGAAACTGGGTGCTCACTTCTTTCGCGCTGCCCTTACTATGCCAGCCTTCGTTTTGATTGCCATTGGCTGTTTCTGTTGCATAAAATTTATGTGAACTAGAATGAATTTTGAAAGTAGATTCTGCCCATCGTGTTGCACACTATTGCGTTATAACACCATAAACGTTTCCAAATAGAAAAAGACATTTTTGAATGGAGTGAAATGTCACCAGGAACATGCAGATACCCTTTCCTTTGCTTTTGTTTTGGGAAGAAAAAAGGCCAGTTTCTTTCACTTCTGCAGGTGATAAATTATTCCGTTGATGGATTAAGACCTGTAAGGTTATGACCCTAAACAGTTTTATGTGAGGCTATTGCATTAAACAGCAGTTTGTGCAAGACAGTTGTCTTCTGCCAGCTCAAAGTTCTTTAAATTCCAAAAGTACTGGCCGTTGGGATGAACGGTTGTAGTCCTGTCCCTGCAAGAGTATGTCCTGCCGTGTTAGGTCCTGGTTGTTT